AATTGTTGGTTACTTGATAAACACATTAAATTGAACCAACTCACCACGATCCTCTGCCATCAGCGACGTCATTTTTGCATTTGACAAATTCGGAAATTGCATGAAAGTTATTTGTCAATGCATAACAAACATATTTGAATAAAACAATAATGCACTCACCTTGAGCTGTCGTTGAGAGTTTATGTTGCTAATATTTTTTTATTGAAAATAAAATACTTTTAAAATAATTTTCACGGAAACATTTTCACTGGTACGACACGTTTTGTTAAGAAGAAACAAATAAGATCAAAACAAAACAGCAGAATGAAATGTCAAATTAAAAAAAAAAAGCTTTTGTACAAAGATGTGGAACTGAAAAAAAGCTTAGTCAAGAACAACTCCCAACTTCCACCTGAGTAAGAAATAGAATTCGCCTTAAAGCGGGATTTTCACTAGTGCACTACAGTGGGATCAGCTAACGAGCTTCGATCAACGCTCGTTGAACTTTAACGTACCTACAGCTGGCACCGTTGATCGTTGACGGTATAAAACTGCGTGCACCAGGAAGAAGCTCCCTCTTGTTGTGTTCAACCGCGAAGTGCATCGAAAGATTCCGGGCCTTGGCTTCAGTAGCTGCAATAAAATTTCTTGACTAAGACGGCGGTAATTGTGAAAACATAAAGGCGAATTTAAAGTAAAGTAGAAAGTATCTATATAAACTAAGTTCTGTGCACAAAATTATGTATATTTAATAATGTCGAAATTTTAATAATTTTCTTTATAAATTTGTGAAACTTGAAATCGAATTTAAAACCAAGTAAAAAACAAAGTCAAAAGTATATATAAACTGAGTTTTGTACATAACATTACATATATCTGTTAATATCAAAAATTTTAATTTTTATTTGAACATTTGTGAAAACATAAAAGCGAATTTAAAGCAAAGTAGAAAGTATATATATAAACTAAGTTCTGAGCATAAAATTATGTATATTTGATAATGTCGAAATTTTAATAATTTTCTTTATAAATTGTGAAACTTGAAATCGAATTTAAAACCAAGTAAGAAACAAAGTCAAAAGTATATATAAACTGAGTTTTGTACATAAAATTACATATATCTGTTATTATCGAAAATTTTAATTTTTATTTGAACATTTGTGAAAACATAAAAGTGAATTTAAAGTAAAGTAGAAAGTATCTATATAAACTAAGTTCTGAGCATAAAATTATGTATATTTGATAATGTCGAAATTTTAATAATTTTCTTTATAAATTGTAAAACTGGAAATCGAATTTAAAACCAAGTAAAAATAAAGTCAAAAGTACATATAAACTGAGTTTTGTACCTAAAATTACATATATCTGTTAATATCAAAGAAATTTTAATTTTTATTTGAAAATTGTGAAAACTTATAAGATGAATTGTATAAGCGAATTTAAAGGAAACTAACGTGTACGTAAAGAACTAAAATTTTGTACATCATTATTTATTTGTTGACGAAATAAATTTTAATAAATTCTTCTAATAAATAAAAACGAAAATAAAAAAGAGAATAAATGAGAATTGTTGTTTCTTAGTAAAAATAGAAGTAAACAGGTACACAAACGAGAGCTCGTAACAAAAGAATTGGTAAAGTATAAGTTATACTAGCTTCTCCTGAACTGTACATATTCAAAGTGGGAACCCAAGTCAAAGGCACAAGTGAGAGATATAGGTAAGCAAGATTCAGGGCTTCAACAGTGACTGAATCACGGTTGCACGGGGTATAACTCACGTAGCTTTAATAGTCACGTGGGTCTATACCATAGTGTCGGTAGCGATAGGTAGCTTCAATAGTAACCTAACGCCTCCGACCCCTGGGCGCTTTAACAGTGAACAGGGAAGGGCGTGTGATCGGCGACCTGTAATACCACTCACGTAGCTTGAACAGTCACGTGTGCGGGTGTTATATCGTGTCGGCCGCCTGGTGAGTTAGTATTTGTACCACCAACTCAGTTTCGTCGTCGATTTAAGTTAGTTTCGATTAGGCTGGTTGCGGTTCTGTGCATCGACAGCGTGAAAATTTGAAGTGCCAGGG